TTTCTAGGTCTCATGAAGACCTACCTACCTACCAAGTTTCATTCCAATCCATCCACTGCTTCTCGAGTTATCTTGCTAAACCACACACACACACACATACCCACAGACAAACGCTACTGAAAACATAACCTTCTTGGCGAAGGTAAAAATAAAAACAGGCTTAGGCATTCTATTATGGCCCAAAATGGTATGATAGGAGCCATGAAGTCAACACACCTGGCTGGTTCAAAATTTAAACAATGAATTTTGAACTTTTAATGAAACTACTGCATTGAAAGACGGAATAACTGTAACAATTAGGAAGAAAAGGACTGTTTTCGACTGTTCAGGGCAAAATATGAGCATTTTGCAGTTCATTCTGAACCAGAATCTCCTTTTTTTTTTTTGCAAATCAGGAAAAAATTAAGCAGGCGAATCCATTAACCAAGAAATTAAATTGGTGTGGCCTAAGTCAGACTTTCTGCACAGGTTCCATATGCAGGGAACTCGAGATGACTCGGCATATTTCTGTTCACCTGAAGCCATCAACTTCCATCGGCAGTTAGGGGGCCTTGTGAGTGTTGAAAAAATCCTTCCATCCAAAGTAGTGAGAGAAATGAGATTGCAACAATTGTTACAGTCAAACCTGTCTAAGCCGGCCACCCAGGGGACCAAAGAAAAGCGGTCACCTTGGACAGGTGGTCTCCTTGAAGAGGATCGCCTCAAAACATGACCCACTCACACATAAATGGTTTCCAAGTTGAGATGTTTTAAAGTCAAATGCTGTAAGCATGTTTGAAGTTCTGTGGTGAATGCATGTGGGGAGGGTGGCACACGGAACAATTTATGTCAAACAAGAAAACATTGTCCAGCAGTCGAGGCAAACTGGCTGGTTTCTCCATGATTTCTGATTAGTTATCATCAATGATCAACAATGATGTTGTCGCCATGGGCAGGTATTGGGCCTTGAGTGGACCCAACTCACGGTGGTCGCTTTGGCCAGGTGGTCACCTTGGACAGGTCACTTAATTGGGCAAATTTTTGTGACCGAGAAAAAGCGGTCACCATTAAAGAGGTGGTTACCTTGGCAGGTTTGACTGTACAGTAGTTAGTTTGCATTGGTATACATATTGTAATGGAGCGTCCAAGGTGCGCAGACTAGTTTGTCCGCACACCCGATGGATACAAAGGAACATTCCTTTTTTTTTTAAGAAAAGTCACTTCTAAAGACTTACAAAAGAAGAACTTAATTAAGCAGTGCCAGCCTGCCTGAATTTACCAATACGTGTTTAACATATCCCCCCCCCCAATTTGCAGATAAGCATTGCCAGGATTCCCCTATGCAGACCCTCAAAAGATGCCCTAGATAATTGTGGCTAAAATCCTTCTCTTCTCCAACTGAAAGTAGACATATCCTATGATAAAAATGCATGCTAGTAACACTAGTAGTGAAGAGAGCTTCAAATTGAAAGATCCAACGATGTAGATTGACACAGAAAACCACACAATTTCAAAAACTTTTTTAATACATTTTTTGGCCAGAAAAGTAGTGCCAAAAACTGGAGAAGTTTGATGAATAACTTGGTTAGTTTGATGAAGTGATGCAAAATCATCATTTTGAATGGATGTCAGTCCATTGAAGTTTGCCAGAAATGCCCCATAAGGCCACACCAATTTAATTTGTTGCTTCTCAGATTCGCCCTGTCCATTTTTGTCTGATTTGCAAAAAAAAAATTTTTTTTGTTCTAAATTAACTGCAAAACGATTAATAAAAGACATATTTCGGCCCCAATGGTTAAAGAAATTCCTTTTCTTCCTGGTTCTTAAGTTTTTCAATGTAACAATGCAATTTTGTTTCATTAAAAGTTCAAAATCTATTGTTTTAATTATAAACCAGCCTGGTATGTTCACTTCATGGCTCATATTGTAACATTTCCAGCTATCATGGAGTGCCTTGGCCTGTTTTTTTTATTTTTTTTATTTTGCCCTGTCGCTCCTGATTTTTTTTTTAATCCGAGAAACAACAAATTAAATTGTTGGGGCCTAATTATAAGCAAGCCATTTAATCTGTGTAGCCCAATACCTGTGCTGAAATCTACCACAGACCTTTGCTGAAATCTCGTTCTTATAATTGACCTTTAATTGGGACATGATTACTGTAAAATAGTTGTTGTGGTGATCCTAACAAACACTGAGAACCAAAAATGTCTATAAAACGTCTTACGGACAATAGACATGATTTAGACATTGCTGAACAAAAGCCAGTCGGAAGAACATTAAGTAGACATAGTTACTGAAAAACGACATCGAAATAACCCAAGGTGGACTTTTTATATCCATAGTCTCTTCACACGTCAGGTAGGGACACCCCTAGGAGACAGTCCTTTGTTTAGCACAATGCGCACTTATAAAGATATTAGCATCTGTCTATTAATTAATTGTGTCCTGCCCTATAAATTGTCTTGGCTTTGTGCAGTGCTTTTCATATGCATCCCAGTTTTCACAGGTTTTTTCTAAAGACATTCT